TCTTTTAAGTAGCCTCCATGCCTAGCGTGGAGCCCAACATGGGGCTTGAACTCACCACCCTAAGATCTCTGAGCTGAGATCAAGAGTCAGACAGTCAGACACTTAATTGAGCCACCCAGGTGCCCCCAATGAAATTCTATTTTTCTTTTTTTAAAGATTTTATTCATGAGAGACACACAGAGAGAGGCAGAGACACAGGCAGAGGGAGAAGCAGGCTCCCTGCAGGGAACCTGATGCAGTACTCGATACCAGGACCCCAGAATCACCACCTGAGCCAAAGGCAGGCGCTAAACCACTGAGCCACCCAGGCGTCCCAAGCATTTGGCTCTTATTGTTGGGGTTGTGAGTTTGAGCCCATTAGGAGTAGAGATCACTTAACAAATAAAAGTTAAGAAAAATGGATCAGTGTTTCAAAAAAAAATTGTTGGAAATTAGCTTTTCTTTCTACTGTGATAGATATAAATAGATAGAACGCATCAAAACAAAATCTTGGAGCCCTGAGACCAAAACAATTGGTTTGTCTCATCGTTTGCTGGGATTAAGTGCAAAAGCTTCAAAGTCAAAGCTACAGTCAGTCAGATGCTCCTGATGCCTCTGGAAGGCACCATGAAGGAGTGCAGCGCCCTGGCATTTAGGAAGTGAGTGCTGGGTGGACCCTGTGCCTTTGGCATGGACAAGGTTTTAGTATATGTGATTGGGCCTAGTGAAGTGGCCAGCTACTTAATGCACGACAATCTGACCATATTGGAGGCAGCAGACTGCATGGGGTGCTAGGAGGACGGGAGACAGTCAGCTGTGGATACATTTAGAGCCTCAAAAAAGTTCAAGTCTTCCCATCTCACTCCAGATCTTCATGTCCCACCTTCTCCTCATGCATGGAGTGGATTATGCATCAGCCAGTAGGTCTCACAGTGAGGCCCTCTGATCAGCAGCAGCAGCGGCAGCAGACCCCAGTACCTGTCAGAGCTGCAGAGTCCTGGGCTCACCCTGGACCTATGAAATCCCATGGCCTGGGGGTGGGGGCCAGCTGTGTGTGTCCACAGGCCCTCCAGGGGAGGCTGATGCACAAGTTTGAGAACTTGGGGTGAACGTTAAAGGTACTTAGGATAGAGCCTCCCTAAGGCAGTAAAAGTAAACAGCGCCATGAGGAGAAAGGCCATTCCAGGATATGGGGCTTTCTGCAAGAAAACTCACCTTGAAAGCTAGTCTTCAGGAAGTCATTGTCACAGGAGTCCTCCAGATTAAAGAAGGCGAATGCAGCATGGCCGTATATGAACCATGATCGGATCTCTGGGAGTGGTGGGGATTGGGGGAATGAATGATAGGGAATTCAGTATTCTTAGTTATGATCATGGTATCGTGGTTTTCAGAATAACATTAATTCTTAAACACAAAAGTCATCAGAATTGGATAGGAAGAAGTAACATTGTCTCTATTTATAGACGGCATGATTTTATCTATAGAAAATCCTAAAGACTATACCAAGAATCTGTTAGAGCTGATCAATATGATTTTATCTATAGAAAATCCTAAAGACTATACCAAGAATCTGTTAGAGCTGATCAATGAATTCAGTAAAGTCGTGGGGTGCAAAATTCACCTACAAAAATCTGCAGTACTTTTATACACTAACAATGAATGATCTAAAAAAAGAAATTAAATTATCCCATTTACAGTAGCATCGAAAACAATAAAATACCTAGGAATAACTTAACCGAGGAAGCGAGAGATCTCCACTCTGAAAATTGCAAGACATCGATGAAGATAACACAAATAAATGGAAAATTATCCCATGTTCATGGATTGAAAGAATTAATATTGGTAAAATGTCCATTATTTACCCAAAGTCATTTACACATTCAGTGGAGTTCCTATCAAGATTCCAATGGCTTTTTTGTTTTGCAGATGTAGAAAAAAGATCCTAAGATTCACAAAAGATCCTGAATAAGGAAGAACAAAGTAGACCAGATTCCAAGTTGTATAAAAAGCTATAATAATCAGGGGCAGCGGTTTAGCACCACCTTCAGCCCAGGTCGTGATCCTGGAGACCTGGGATCGAGTCCCACGTCGGGCTCCCTGCATGGAGCCTGCTTCTCCCTCTGCCTGTGTCTCCGCCTCTCTCTCTCTCTGTCTGTCTCTCATGAATGAATAAATAAAATCTTTAAAAAATAAATAAAAAATAAAGCTATAATAATCAAAACAGTATACTGCTGGCATAAAAACAGACACAGAGACCAATGGAAGAGAATTGAGAGCACAGAAATAAACCCATGTATATAACGGCCAACTAGCATTTGACAAGGGAGCCAGGAATACTCAGTAGAAAAAAGACAATGTCTTCAATAGATGGTGCCAAAAACTGGATATTCATGTGTGAAAGAATGAAATTAGATCGTTATGCTACACCCCTCACAAAAATTAACTCAAAATGTATTAAAGACTTAAATGTAAGACCAGAAACCATAAAACTCCTAGAAGAAAACAGGAAATAAGCTCTTTGACATCATCGTGGCGATGTTTTTGGATTTGACACCAAAAGCAAAAGTACACAAGTGAGACCATATCAAACTGAGAAACCTCTACATAGCAGAAGAAACAATCAACAAAATGAAAAGTATCCATGGAATGGGAAAAAATACTTGCAAACCATATATCCGTCAAGAGTGTAATATCCAAAATATGTGAAGAACTCCTACAACTCCATAGCAAGAAACTCAGGCAGCCCAGGTTTCTCAGTGGTTTAGCGCCACCTTCAGCCCAGGGCCTGATCCTGGGGACCCGGATTGAGTCCCGCGTCGGGCTTCCTTCATGGAGCCTGTTTCTCCCTCTACCTGTGTCTCTGCCTCTCTCTCTCCCTGTGTCTCTCATAAATAATAAACAAAACAAAATCTTAAAAAAAATAGAAAAAAATTAAAAATAAAATAAAAATTAAAAAAAAATAACAAGAAACTCAGTCTGATTAAAATATGAGCCAAGGACCCAAACAGATGTTTTCCCAAAGAAGATACACAAATGGCCAACAGTTATATAAAAAGATGCTCCACATCACTAATCAGGGAAATGCAAATCAAAAGCACATGAGATATTATCTTACAGCTATTGGAATGACTATTAACACAAAGACAAGAGATTACAAATGCTGGCAAGGATGTGGACAAAGGGGAACCCTTCCTTGTGTGCTGTTGGTAGGATTGTAAATTGGTGGAGCCACTATGCAAAACAGTATGGAGGTTCCTAAAAAAATTAAAAATAGAACAGCTAAATGATCGGTAATCCCTCATCTGGGAATATACCCAAAGGAAATGAAAACACAGAGACAACTGCACCCCCATGTTCATTGTAGGGTCATCTACAGTGACCAAGACATGGAAACAACCTAAGTGTCCATCAACAGATGAATGGGTAAAGAAGTAATACATATATACAATGGAATATTATTCAGCCGTAAAAGAGAAGGAAATCCTGCCATTTGCGACATGGATGGAACTTGAGGGCATTATGCTCAGTGAAATAAGACAGGGGCAGCCTGGGTGGCTCAGCTATTTGGTGCCACCTTCAGCCCAGGGCGTGATCCTGGAGATCCAGGATTAAGTCCCATGTTGGGCTCCCTGCATGCAGTCTGCTTCTCCCTCTGCCTGTGTCTCTACCTGTCTCTATGTGTGTGTGTCTCTCATGAATAAATAAATAAAATCTTAAAAAAAAAAAAGAAGTCAGATAAAGACAAATACCAAATGATTCACTTATATGTGGAATCTTAAAAAAAAAACTCATAAAAGAGAGATCAGATTTGTGGTCAGAGGTAGGGAGGTAGTAGGTGGGGGAATTGGAATGAGGTGGTCAAAAGGTAAAGATTCTTAGTTGTAAGATAAATAAGTACCAGGGATGTAATACACTATGTGATATGGTATATTTGAAAGTTATTAAGAGAGTAGTAGATCCTAAGAGTTCTTGGGGCAAGAAAACTTTTTTCTTTCTTTTTTTTTTTTTTGTATCTATATGAAGTGATGGATGTTAATTAAATTTATAGTAATAATTTATGGTGATAATTTCACAATATATCTAATAAGTTGTGCTCTATACCTTGAGCTTATACAGTGTTTTATGTCAGTTATAGCTCAATAAAACTGGAAAAATATGTATGCTGAAGTATGATCTTTTGCATCTTTCAAATGGCTCAGTTAAAAAAAAGTATATGATAAAATATAGTAAAATGTTAACAACTGTTAAACCTAGGTGGTTGCAATAGGAGTTTTATTTTACTATCCTTTTAACTTTTCTGTTTGAAAATTTTCTTAAGTCGGGCACACAGAAGATGCAACTCATTCATTTCACTGCATGCTTAAGATGGAACTTCATGTATGATTAGGTTTGACTGTGAGTAAGAGATCCAAATTATCAGCAGCTTAAACAAGATGGAAGCGTATTTCTTTGTGAAAGTTCACAGGTAGGTGGTTAGGCAGGTAGGTGGCTTTGCAGCAAGTTGTCCTTAGGACCGAGGCACCTGCCATCTTATTGCTTCCCAATAGGTGACTTTCCTTTCCTTATGGCCCAAGACAGCTGGTCCCACTCCCGCCATCGCTTCCACATCCCAGCAGGCAGAAGAAGAGGAGGTAAAGGGCTACTTTTAGGGAAAACCCCTTGAGGCCACCAGAGAACACCTCCTTGACCAAAGCTTAGTTTTGTAGCTACCAGGGAGGCTAGAGATGCCTTCATCCCAGGCAGCCACGTACCCAGGCTAAAATTGGGCCTTTGTGACTCCAGAAGACGGGAAGGAAGGAAATCGAAGGACAGTCTGTAAGCTCTGCCCTGCCAGGAAAGGTGTTTTAAATTCAGGATCTGGCAGGTAGTCTTCTCCCAGGGCTTAGTGTGAGGGGTCACGAGGCAGCTGTTTCTGGTTCCTTACTGCAAAGACCAGCAAAGAGCCGAGCTGCCAGGCCCCACGTGGAGAGAAATCCCTGGCATCCCATGACCAGCCACTGTCCTCCTTTTCTGTTCTGCAGTGTCGAGCCTATCGCAGTATTTTAGCCCAGCCTCAGTGGCCAACAGCCCGGCCCGTGCCCTCCTGCTCGTCGGCATCGTCCTCCTGGCCTACTGGTTCTTGTCCCTGACGCTGGGCTTCACCTTCAGCCTCCTGCACGTGATATTTGGCCGCTTCTTCTGGGTCGCCCGGGTCATCCTGTTCTCCATGTCCTGCGTGTATGTCCTGCACAAATATGAGGGGGAACCGGAGAATGCAGTCCTGCCCCTGTGCTTCGTGGTGGCCATCTACTTCATGACCGGGCCCATGGGCTTCTACTGGCGCAGCAGCCCCAGTGGGCCCAGCGTGGAGGAGAAGCTGGAGCATCTGGAGAGTCAGGTCAGACTGCTCAACATCCGCCTCAACAAAGTGCTGGAGAGTCTGGACCGCGCCAACGGCAAGTGACAATCAGCCAGCCGGCCGGGTCCCCTCACGCCAGCGCCCTCTCTCAGAAGACAGAAGAGAAGACGGAAGAAAAGAACACCAAACCCCAAACAATCTCAATAAACATTCCCGAGCAGGACAGTGGCGCTCCGTGAGGGTCTTTCCGGCCACAAGTCAACCCTTAGGACACGTTCCCAGAGGAATGACAGGATCATTTGTGTAGAACTAACTACCCACAAAGTGTCATTAGTGGTGGAAAAAAAAATATTTTTTAAACAAAGGATATAACCATATTCGCTGTACAGTCAGAGTTTATCTGTGCATAGAGCCTAAAGTTAATTTTTTCAAGCACTGAAATACATCTTTTGTAAGGTTTTTTAATAAAGGCAGGTCGAGTCAAGTTTAATAAAACTTTACACCTAGGGGGAGAATGTGCTAATTGGACACTTTATACCCAAAGTTCCAATGCTAGCGTTTGTGTGTTCACAGCATAGGGATTGGCGGGTGAGGTCTATATGCGTTATTCTCATGTTCCAAAACCATGAGCTTCGTTCTTTGTTATTTTTGATTAATGGTGACTTAGCTGATGGATGTTTTCGTTTCCGGGTGTGGGCAGTTGGGGTCCAGGACGAAACTAAACATCTTTTGGGTCTTGTTGACCCCAGCCAACCCCCCCCACCGCCCCCGTCAACCATGTTTCTAAAAGAAGAGATTATTATTTCTAGAAAACCTGAGATTATTCAGGATTTTTTTCCCCTTTCTGAACCTTGATGGATTTTAACCTCCACATTTTGTAAAGGAAAACTCAAGGACCAGGCAAGACACGTCTTTGGGGTCTAATGCTGAAAGCCATGTGGGTGAGCGCCACCACTCCCTTGGTCAGGAGTCTGGGCGACATCCCACAGTCACTGTCTGCCCGGCTAGACCTGCAGAGGACAGGTCTGCTCTCAAGGGTTTTGGTTTGTTTCATTGTGGTTTGGGTTGTCTCAGGACCATGGAAGGAAAACAAACTGTAGCAGCTAATAACATTTCCAAGTCTGTTGCTGCTTGTAAGGCATTCTCAGGAACAAGCAGCAAGACACACACCTTGGAGAAGATCCGAATTATCTTTCCTGAAATTTTTACGATACACGTGTTAGGTGCTTTCCGTCTGAAGTCTGCCTTCATTTTAGGTGGTGCCCAGGGGCAGAGAGGGACTTCACTGGGCAGACAGCCATGGGGGGGCCTCCGCAGGGGCACCTTGCCAGCTGGCTCAGGGGTGGAGGGAGACGCCCTGGCCTTGCCCCCCACCCCCAGGCCTGTCAGTTAGCACTGGGAACTTGCTCGGGCTTTGGCAGATCGCAGCTTCCAAGGCCACAGGGGGTTTGACTGCCTCCAGGACCCTTCCCTGCCCACCCCTGCCCCGGGGGGTGAGGGGGGAGTTCATTCACGGAGCCCCTGTACGCAGGTTTGCAGAGAGCCCCCTCAGATTGGCCGGAACCAAGACCCCACGGTCCACGTACCATTCTGGAGACAACCCAGCTCTCCGCCAGCTCTTGTACGGCATTTCTGTGAAGTTTTATTTTCGGTTGCAAATATCTGGAAAACAGGAGCAGATGTTTTTTAAGGATGCTTATGAAACTTCTATTTTTAAGGTGCACATAACGGAACTCAAACTCTGCCACATTCAGTTCACTTCCTGAAACGCATACCTGTTGTCTGGGGTTAGCTCGGGCAGATCTTCATCCGGGGGGCATCGGAACCCGTGGTTTCTGGATCGAAGCCGTTCCAGTTGCCATTTAGATACTTCCAGAGAAATCTATTTTAGCACAGGGTATAAAAATTAACTCCAGGGAGGCCATCCTTGCCCTCCTTCCCTTTGTGCATTTGGCTCTTGTGTGTTGGGCATTGCTTTGCTTATGCTGGCCAGGGGCGTATTGGCATTCTGTGCACAAAGCTTTCAAGTCCCTAAACCATCACTGGTCTGGATAGAATCTCCACTCCGTTCTCCCTGCCACCTTCCCATGCGAGGCCTGAAGGGCACCGTGCTGTGTTGAGATCTAGACAGGAAAACCTTTTGGACTTCCAGGAAATCCAGGGAGGCACGTGCCCCTCGGTACTGGTGCGTTGAGACCTCGGGCAGCAGCTAGACATCGCAGTGTGGGCTCTGAGGCCAGTCTTACAGGCCGATACGCTCACGTGGAAGACGGCTTTATTTTCAATGAAGGAACCTTCAGTTAAATAGGAATGGCACTTCAGGGCAGAGCATTCTTTGACATTCCGGTAGGAATCGTGGATGTTATTATTATTTTTTTTTTTTTTTGAATCGTGGATGTTAGATCTGAGTAACTCTAGCTCTTTATTTTTTTTGAATTTTTTTTTATTTGTTTATGATAGTCAGAGAGAGAGAGAGAGAGAGAGAGAGGCAGAGACACAGGCAGAGGGAGAAGCAGGCTCCATGCACCGGGAGCCCGACGTGGGATTCGATCCTGGGTCTCCAGGATTGCGCCCTGGGCCAAAGGCAGGCGCCAAACCACTGCGCCACCCAGGGATCCCTAACTCTAGCTCTTTAACGCATAAATCTGATTTTTGTTTGGGCATATTCTTAACCCCAAATAGTTTGGGATTTTTTTTTCTTTCTCCCTTCTACAGAAGCTTGTTGGGGTACTTGGCATCTCCCCGGGCTCCCCATCTTTTTCCTCTCTTTTGTACATGGAAAAAAAGTATTTTTGTATCATATCTCATACCTGGAAGAGAAATCCTTCTTTTTATGTCTCCCAGGCTGTAGAATATATTAGTGCAACACTTCATTCAATGTGATGTAAAAAAATCCTGACAAGGACTACTGTGAATGGGTTATAATTACCACTCCATTCTCTAGATATCTTAAAGTTGATCAGTGTTTATTTCCCGGTGCCTCTGTGTCACAACAAACACCAAAAACAAAAGAGAAAGGACCAACTATCTCTAACTCCTGGATTTGTGTGGATCCTCTGGAGTCTGTTGAGAATGACCTCTTCTCTGACATGCTAGCAGAGGTGCTCCAGTGGCACATCAGCCTTCCATAAATACACTTCCCATACCAATCAGGATCGGCATCATCTGCCTTCTGGGGGTTTTGGGCATCATTGTTTCAGTGATACTCCATTTCACTCTGGTAACAAAATGCGTCAATAGAATTTCTCGAAAGCTGGTCTGGTGAATTGTGCCAGGGTCCTTATGAAGTTAACTGGGTGATGGCCCAGGAAGGCTAATAGCATTGAAAGAAGGTTTTTAACACAGTTCCCTAAAGCCAATGGGCATAGCATGCCACACAGGGTCCCCCAAAGCCTGTCACATGCAGGGTCAGGAAGTGGAGAGGGGGTCTGTGCTTAATAACTTTGGGATGGTGGGAGGTGACCAGGTTCAAACATTCCCCACTGGGTGCCAAGTGCAAACATGCAGGTCGGAGTCGGTGGTTGGGAGGATTATAATATGACATTGCACACCCTGAGGGCTGGCTCATGGGGAAGCTGTGAACCACTTTGGTTGCTAATCTGTCTCTGATTCAGCAGCCATATGGAGAGGTTAGGAATGACAGGTCACATAGCCAGTGCAGAATCGAAAACATAGTTAACACACCCTGTCTCTAGTAGCAATCCTGAACTGCTTCATTTCTATGCTTCCTGCTACTCCTTAAGAAGCTCTAGATGATTGATGCCTGGTAACTCCTCCCTGATGGGGTTTGAATTGTCTGACTTAACCCAAAAGCCAGCTCTGGCCATCCAGCTGGCTCAGGTAAGAAGGAATTTTTAAGGTCCTATGATGTCATCCCCCTCTCCCCAACTTTAAAAAAAATATATATATATATCTCCATTCTGCAAAATTTTGCTTATGGTCATTTGAGTAATTGAACTTTTACTCCTCACTTGTGAATAGTGAATAATAGAATTATATATTTTTTGCAGGTTCTAACATAGCACCCTTAAAATTAGCATTGGACAACCACTAATATGATGTACAGTATCTGGGTTAAACAAACTTTGTTCAGCGTACTGATTCTGTGCTTTGCCCTTCAGTGATTCCCTGATTTGCAGGAGTTACACCAGGACCAGTTTTTCTATTGTGGTATTAAAAGCTGATTGTCATTTGCATTGTCTACTGAAAACCTTTGGGTGGCAGCTAATGGAGTTATTAACCATATGTTCTAATGTCTTTTTGCAGATTTTAAGGTTTTGTTATAGTGTCAGCTTTAATATTCGCATGTGTGTTAAATCTCTGGATACTGTGTAATTAAATTGATTTCTTGTGATGGTGACGGTGATTAGCGCTCACTTAAAATCCAGCGAAGCAATTATTTCCCCTCTTAACTGGAAATCATATTTGTGAGGTATGGTGTCCCTTATCAACAGTGTATTCATGATTCAGTTCATATTTTGTGTATCTGTTTATAAATTTTCTATAGCATTTGATTTCACACTTAATATAAATCCATTTGATTTGAATATGGTGGTGTGTGTGTGTGTGTGTGTGTGTGTCTGTGTGGTGTGTGCACACTTTAGTTCCATAAGCCTTGGGAAGCTGATTCTACGAATATCAAATATAAACATAAATGTATAAGGCTTATTTTATTTGCAAAATGATACATACATTCCTCCTATTTATTAAATCACTGGCTTTAGTGTTCTGTAGAGATATTTGTAGACCGATTTCAGAACAGAATGAAAATATTGTGAAAATTACAGCTTAATAAATGTTTATTGTAATTTTGTTGTATGGACTTCCTAAATATATTTCATTACTTCTGACCAAGCATTTGTGGGGTTTGCCCCAATTTTGACAGGTAATGGTGATTTTTATGATTCTATTCCTCAATCTGAGAAGACTCAAATAACCTTAATGTGTTCAGTTGGAGGGAGGGTTGCCAGATAAAATACAGGACACCCAGTTAAATTTGAATTTCAGAAAAGCAGCAAATACCTTTTTAAGTATATCCCAAACATTGCATGAGATATCCTTAAAAAGTATTTATTGTCGGGCAGCCCCGGTGGTGCAGCGGTTTAGCGCCACCTGCAGCCCAGGGTTTGATCCTGGGGACCCTGGATCAAGTCCCGCATCGGGCTCCCTGCACGGAGCCTGCTTCTCCCTCTGCCTGTGCCTCTGCCCCCCTCTCTCTCTGTGTCTCTATGAATAAATAAATAAAATCTTTAAAAGAAGAAGTATTTATTGTTTATCTGAAACTCAAATTTAACCAGGAATCCTGTATTTTTATTTGCCAATTCGGGCAACCCTAACAGGGTTTTGCAACAGGTGTTCCCCTCTCCATCCCATCCCAAACAGGTTTTCCTGCATGCTAAAAATGATTCCCTTAGCAAATAATCAAGAGCAAATGGAACAGAATAGTCCAGTGAAGTACACTTGTGACCCAAAAGCACTGCTCCTCAAAGTGTGTGCCATTTGGAGGCCACCTGGGTGGCCCCCCTCTAAGAGAGAAAGCAGGTTTTTTTTTTTTTTAAGATTTTATTTATTCATGAGAGACGCAGAGACACAGGCAGAGGGAGAAGCAGGCTCCATGCAGGGAGGCTGATGCGGGACTTGATCCCAGGTCTACAAGATCAGGCCCTGGGCTGAAGGCGGTGCCAAACCGCTGAGCCACCTGGGCTGCCTGAGAAAGCAGGTTAAATGTAGGGACCCCACACCATGGAGGAGAGTGCAGCAATTAGTAGCCACAGCAGCAGTGCTGGGTGACACAGTAGGAACCAGAGTGAGATATGAAAACAGTATCAATTTGAACGAATTAAATACATGTGATTAATCATTTTGCAAGAGTACATTAAAAAAAAAATCCAGGTAGATAGAAAAGGAGGGTGGGAGAAGATCCTGGGACCAAGAAAAAGAAAGGAGGCGTTGCTGAGTGAAGCTGTACTGGGCTGAGGAGTGTGATTCGACAGAGCAACAGAGGGCACAGGTCACAGGTGCATGTCCCTGCCCCGAACCCAGCCTCGATTTACCATCTCCTCTTCCATGATCCCTTCTGCCAAAAGCCGCTATCAGCTTCTAGCCAGCAGAGGGTTTACTTAATAGCTGGGGTGGTGAGGTTTTACATCAGTACCATGGCACTTGTCCCCAGTCTGGGCTCCTGTGCTGTTTGTTTCATTTTTTTTAAAGCAGCTTTACTGAAGTATAATTGACATACGATGAGCCAGGCATGTTTCAAGTATAAGGTTTGATAACCTTGGATATATTTCTATACCCGTGAAAACACGGGCACCATCAAGAGAGGAAAGCACGACCACCACCTCCGAAGTCCCCAGCGTCCACACCTCTTAACCTCCCTGCTCTCCCATTTGCAAGCAACCTCTGATCTGTTCTCTGTCCCTATACATTCACTTACATTTTCTAGCATTTTACATAAAGGGAACCAAACAGCATGTGCTTGCTTTTCTACAGTGTTTTGCTGGAGTCAGCCTAATTATTTTGAAATTCATCCAGGTTATGTGTGTTGGTAGCTCATTCCCTTTTATTGCTGGGTAGTATTCCACTGTGTGAATAAGCTTCCATCTGTGTATCCATTCACCTGCTGATGGGCTTGGGTTGTTTCCAGTTTGGGGCTATTACAAATAAAACTACTACAGACATGTATGTACAGATCTTTGTAAGAAGATTTTCTTTCCTTTGTCTTACATAAATACTTAGTGGTGGAATGGCTGGATTGTAGAATAGGCATATGTTTAATCTAAATGTTAAACATTTTCTGAGGTGTTTGTACCCACATTTTTTACTAGCTCTGTATGAGAATTCCAGTTCCTCTACATCCCCGCTGGTACTTGGTATAGTCAGCTTTTTCTCCAACAAAAAAAAAAAAAAAAAAAAAAAAAATTATTTACTGAAAGGTATCGTCTCAGTTGAAAGCTGGCCGTTTTTAATTAAGCCATGCTAAACCAGTAATAGTAAATGAAGTATTTCCCCGAGTTCTGTGAGCCATTCTAGCAAATCACTGAACCCGAGGAAAGTGGAACCTCTAACTTGGCACCATGGCAGACAGAAGTGAGGGTAACCCTCGGGGGCTGTAAACTTGAGATTGACGTCTGAAGGCAGGGGATGTTTTTGTGGGACCCAGCTCTTCACCCGTGGGGTCTACACTAATTCTGGGTAGCTAGCATCAGAATGGCTTAATGCGAGGGAAACCTCCATATGTTTGGTGCCAGAGAGTCGTGAGCAGAGAGAGTTTTCCCTTAGATGAGTTTTCAGGACCAAGAGCATCACAGGTTGCCATAGGAGGGGATGAGAGAAGGGTGGTCACTGTGTTCCTCCACAAATGATGGCAGTCTCTATCAACTACGAACCTTCTGTGTGTCGGCCCTGCCCTACCTGCCCCAGCTTGTTGGAGTTACACAACCATGCTGCTAAGAAGGGATTATCTTAGTAATGAAAAGGAGAATACTCAGGCTGAGAGAGGTTGAGGAACATTGCCCAAGGTCAAATGGCTAGTCCTGGGGAACCTGGGTAAGAGCCCAGTCTTGCGAGCTACTTCCCTACAGGTACTCCAGGGTCTCCCTCCTGGAGAAGCTGTAGCTCACTTTTATTTATTTATTTATTTATTTATTCATTCATTCATTCATTCATTCATTCATTTATTTATTATTTATACCTGGAGAAGCTGTACCTCACTTTTATTATTCATTCATTCATTCATTCATTCATTCATAAAACTATTTTATTTATCTGACAGAGGGAGAGAGCCTGAGACGGGGGAGCAGCAGGCAGAAAGAGAGGGAGAAGCAGGCTTCCTACTGAGCAGGGAGCCTGACCACCCTGCATGACCTGAGCTGAAGGCAGACACTTCAACTGAACCACCCAGGCGCCCCAAAGCTGTAGCTTTCATGTTTTGTTTTGTTTTTTGAACTTGTATTAACAGAGATATTAATTGGTGACACTGATGAAAGAATAAATCCTGACAAAAAACTCAAGGGGTGCCTGGCTGGCGCATGTGACTCTTGAGCTCCATGCTGAGGGTAGAGATTCCCTAAAAAAAAAGAAAAGAAAATCTTAAAAACAAAACAAAACCTAAATAACCACCATCTTTTCTATTCCAAATGGTGCCAGCTGGGAACAAGGATAAATAGTATTTGTTTTATGGCTTTTTGATTTTTTAAAAAATTAAGCCTTAGAATGCAGGGCCCAGAGATGTAAAGTGACTTGCACAAAGTGGCACAGCTAATAAGGGAGTGTAGGGAGCCAGGACTGAAACCCCGGCAGCTCTAGTTTCCACATCCAGTTTCCCACCACAGGCCAAGGCATAGAGAGCGGCCCTCTTGCTACCAGCGTTTACATAGAGCAATCTTTCCTCCTGACAGTTTGAGGACTAATAAATGCAAGCCTTTGGTGACTCTCCTGCCTCCAGCTGTGCTGGGAAAGTAGGCAATTAATGCACATTCACAGCTCATTAGAAGTTCAGGAGAACCCCAGCTTGGATTGATACCTTCTGGTTACTGTTTGATTTTCAGGGATCTCAGGATGCTCTATTCTTTTTTTCTTTCTTTCTTTTTTTTTTTTTTATAAATGGATGCTCTATTCAACAAGGCCATTGTTTTACTAGGATTTAAGATCTTGTCTCAGGTAAAGTGAAATGGTTCTTGCCTCAGGAATCACACAACACCCGGCACCAAGTGTGCTCTTATCAACTCAGACTTCAAAAGACTGTTACATTGCCTCCCTTTGCTTTCAGATCCTTTTCTCTTGTTGCTTAGAACACCCTGTGTGAATCATGTAAAATCATTTGACTGTTACCCCCACATATACCATTGGGGGTATGTATACCATATATATATATATATATAAATTTTTTTTCATGGAGGAGCCCTTGGAGGCTTAGAAGTAGTTCATTCTTTCATTTGGATAGGCCTGCAGTTCTCAAAGTATGCAGGGTCTGAGTTCCTCTAGTTACATAAAATACTATTAATAATTAGTCATTTGCATTTTCCACTCTCATTCTGTCACAAAAGTACAATGGGGTTTTCCAGAGGCTACCAGAAATGATATCTCAAATGATGAATGGCTACGCGGGGATAGGGAGCCAACAGTCTTTGATTAAGTTAGACGAGAGAACAGACAAGGAGATTAGCAAAGAGAACAGTGATACTCTTCTCACTGATTTTTTCCCCCCAAAGTATAGGTATTTTTCATACAAATACATCGTTTATGGTAGCGTGCTATGGGTTTATCATTGTTATTTTAATTTTTAGAGTGGGGGAGGGGCAGGGGCAGAGGGAGGGAGAGAATTTCAAGCTGACCCCACGCCCAGCACAGAGACATGGGGCTCGATCTCAGGACCTGAGCTGACACCAAGAACCTGATGCTCAACTAAACCACCCAGGCGTGCCTACCGTTGTTATTTTTAAATGAATATATTTACTTTTTGGCATCTCATTTTTTATTTATTTTTATTTTTTTTTAATTTTTATTTATTTATGATAGTCACACACACAGAGAGAGAGGCAGAGACACAGGCAGAGGGAGAAGCAGGCTCCATGCACCGGGAGCCTGACGTGGGATTCGATTCCGGGTCTCCAGGATCGCGCCCTGGGCCAAAGGCAGGTGCTAAACCGCTGCGCCACCCAGGGATCCCTCATTTTTTTATTTTTAATTTGGTAAAATTACTTCTAATTACTATTAATTCTAATTGAAAGACATAACCCACAGAAATAAAAGCTTTTGGGATCCTCAGTAAGTTAGAGTGTAAAAAAGTCCTTTACCTGACTCTCTTTGGGCTTCTATAACAAAAATATCACAAACTGGGTGACTTCAACAACAGATACCCATTTCTGGCTGGGAAGTCCACAGTCAAGGGGCCTGAGAGTCAGTGCCTGCCGAGGCCTGTTTCCTGGTTCATAGATGACTGTCCCTCCCTGTGTCCTCACGTGGTAGAAGAGGTGAGGGAGCTCTTTGGGGTCTCCTTTATGAGGACACTAATCCCACTCATGAGGCTCCATCCTCATGATTTTATCACCTCTCAAAGACCCCATCTCTTCATACTATCACACTGGGGGTTAGGGGCTAGGGGTTAGGGTTCTACATATGAATGAGGTGGGGAAACACAACACTCAGTATATTGCAGTCCTGAACCATAAAGTCTGAGGCTCACTAGTGGAGGCAAGCAATCACATAGTACACATTTCAGAGGTACAAAGGAGTGTCTAGGGAGTCTTGCTCCTGCCTAGTCTCCTCACCACCCTTCTGCCCCTAAGGGGACCCCTATCACCAGTTTCTTAGGACTCCAGCTAGGAGTCATATCCAGGGACTACAAGCATATATGTATATACCATCTATACCATCTTTAGCACAAATTATAGCATATTATCTACATTTTTCTGGAACCTGATATTTATGTACATATATCTCAGCCAGCTGTCCCATTATTTGGCTAGTACCCCATTTTGTGGATATGCCATAAGTTATTTAACCATTTGCTTATTGATCAACAGCTGCACTTCTTTTTTTTTTTAAGATTTTATTTATTTATTCATGAGAGGGACAGAGACAGCGAGGCAGAGACACAGGCAGAGGGAAAAGCAGGCTCCCTGCAGGGAGCCCGATGTGGGACTCGATCCCGGGTCTCCAGGATCACACCTTGGGCTGAAGGCAGCACTAAACCGCTGAGCCACCGGGCTGCTCATACAGCTGCACTTGCTAAATTGACTTATTTATGCTAAGCCCACATGTGTTGCTATGACTTTCATGCAAATTGTTATACTTGGTGCAAATATGATGCTATATAACATGATTATATAACACAACAGGACATATAATGTAACATTATACAGTATAACACTATAACATTATCTAATGATACAACATAACATTATTAAATAACATTATTAAATAATAAGACACATAACATTATATAACACAATATGACATGATTATACATGTGACACAGCATAACTTATAACACAATATAACATTTTTTTAAAAGATTTTATTTCTTTATTTGACAGAGAGAGAGAGAGAGAGAGCACAAGAGAGAGAGGGAGAAGTAGGCTCCCTACCAAGCAGGGAGCCTAATGCAGGGCTCCATCCCAGGACGCAGGGGTCATGACCCGAACTGAAGGCAGACACCTAACCAACTGAGCCACCCAGGTGCCCCACAATATAACATTATTGTACAATATAATACAATAAACACAATATGACATTAAGGGTTCAGTTTTGTCTGTAGTTTTCTAGGAACTAGGCTGTTAATTTCATGCCATCTTTCCATTAGTGTAGAAAACTTGAAACCAATCTATCAGCGATTGAATAAAAATTGCATTTACACCATTATTCTAATGGTAAGCTTGTTTTCATTTGTGTTCTAAACAAATTTTTTTGTTCTGTCTACTTTAGTTGTGACACAGTGAGGGTAAGCATTATTAATCAGAGTGAAATAAGAATGTCTGATAGTATTTAATCCCATGACTCTTTAAGGAGGGCAATTTCCTTCAGGCCTGGGATTTGAGCTATCTTTCAGTAAGATTCTGTGTGTTCTGTGGCAAAGTGTGTCATCCCTTCACCCTAAGCCAGTGATGAAATCCATCCCTACAGGCACTAAAATCATAATGCCAACTACTTTCAATCACTGCTGAATTACAATTTTTCATTCTTAAATCCACACTTGACTTCAATATTAGAAGGCTGCTGTGAACTGGAAGTTGATTAAATCATAAAATATACTTATTGGGAGGGGGCACCTGGGTGGCTCAGTGGTTGAACATCTCCCTTTGGCTCAGGGCATGATCCCAGAGTCCCATGATCAAATCCCACATTGGACTCCCCACAGGAAGCCTTCTTCTTCTGCCTGTGTCTCTGCTTCTCTCTGTGTCTCTCATGAATAAATAAATAAAATCTTAAAAAAAAATACTCATTGGGAAAATGTAAATGATAGGCCATTAAATTGAATACTAATAGAATTAGAAAAAAAAAAACACCTACAAAGAGGTTATCTCATAAAAGAATGTATGATCCACAACCAAATGTCAGCTCAAGTGAGAGGGAGGGCCTAAAGAAAGGATGACACAATCACACCAGTCTCAAGCCTGGATAAAAGTCAGAAAAGCTACTCCCATCAATGCTGACAGGATATTTTCATTACCAGTGCTAAGATAATGCCTGCAGTTTACCCTGCATTATGACAATAAATTCTGGCCTCTCTTACATATTTTTTTCTATGTCAAAGTTTTTCTCAGAGCGCTTTATTTTATTTTTTAAAGATTTTATTTATTCATGAGAGACAGAGAGAGAGGCAGAGATACAGGCAGAGGGAGAAGTAGGATCCCTGCGAGGAACCTGATGTGAGACTCGGTCCCAGGACCTCAGGATCACGCCCGGAGCCAAAGGTAGAGACACTCAACTACTGAGCCACCAGGTGCCCTCTCAGAGTGCCTAAGATCAATTATTGCAGGTTCCTGTTGATAGGCTTGGTGAGAAAATAATACCATCATTAGAAAGAGTTGGTTTTTGGAGCCCCTGGCTGACTCAGTCTGTAGATCATGTTACTTGATTTCAGGGTTGTTAAATTCAAGCCCTACACTGAGTGTGAGGATTATTTAAAAATAAAATCTGGGCAGCACCGGTGGCGCAGCGGTTTAGCACCGCCTTCAACCCAAGGTGTGATCCTGGAGACCAGGATTGAGTCCCACGTTGGGCTCCCCTGCCTGGAGTCCACTTCTCCCACTGCCTGTGTCTCTGCCTCTGTGTGTGTGTGTGTGTCTGTCATGAATAAATAAATAAAATCTTAAAAAAATAAAAATAAAATCTTACAAAAACTAAAAAATAAATAAAAGAGCTGATTTTTGAGCAGAGAATTCAGATATGAACTGTGCCTATTATTCTATCCAGAGCTCTATGTTTAGAAAACATCTAAAACAATAGAATGGTGACCATAACCATGAAGGGAAGGTAGCAGTATGAAGTCCTACTGGAGTCCGAAGCTATATGCTTGGGTTAAATTATCTTTTCATTTCTAGAGGTTTCTGATTGGAGCGTCTCATTCCTTCCCCATCCTATTTTAGTATTTTTTGTTTGTTTGTTTAGATTTTTATTTATTTATTCATGAGAGACACACACACAGAGGCAGAGACACAGGCAGAGGGAGAAGCAGGCTCCATGCAGGGAGCCTGATGTGGGACTCGATCCTAGGACTCCGGATCACACCCTGAGCCAAAGGCAGATGCTCAACTGCTGAGCCACCCAGTTGTCCCTATTTTAGTGTTTTCAGTCACAGATATTTTTAATATTTATTTCACTTGGCTCTGGCTCCCACCTTCACAAAGGTTTCAAGTTCGACTTTCAGAACTTAGAGATCCTAAGAGTGATGATCTCCCCAGATTTCACTGGAGTTTTGAAAAGTATATCATGCCCATCACCCGACTTGAAAACTTTATTATTTTTGGGACACCCAGGTGGCTCAGCAGTTGAGCGTCTGCCTTTGGCTCAGGGTGTGATCTCAGGATTGAGTCCCACATGGGGCTCCCTGCATAGGGCCTGCTTCTCCCTCTGCCTGTGTCTCTGCCTCTGTGTCTCTCACGAATAAAATAAATAAAATCTTTAAAAAAAAGAGAAAACTTTATTAATTTTCAAATTTTTATTTATTTATTTGAGAGCGAGAGATAGCACAAGCAGGAGGAGCAAGAGAAGCAAACTCCCTGCTGAATAGGGAGCCCTACAGGGTTACAGAATTACTTAAAAATACAGGTTTTTTTTCTTTAAGATTTTTAAAATTTGTCAGGGAGAGTGCACAAGCAGGGGGAGCAGTAGGCAGAGGGGGGGGCGGGCTCCCCTCTGAGCAGGGAGTCCATTGTGGACCCGAGCCCAAGGCAGATGCTTCACCAACTGAGTATCCAGGCGCCCCAGCAATCTGAAAACTCTAAATACATCCTCTGACGTTAAGTGTGCAATGAATTAAAACCTCTAAAAGTCCTGGACTTTTTCTCTGAAATGCACAAAGCATGGCACTGAGTAAAATTCATTCTAACACTGCACCCATCAGAGTAACCGGCGTTAATTAAAACGAAGCACCGCCTTGTTGAATGCAAATATTTAAAACGGGCAACGTTCGTGCGAACGTGAGCCACGGGAGGACTTGGTCGGGTCCCCTCGTGCACCGAGCCCGGCAGACCCGCTCGCCAACGCACACACAACAACACGGCCAGGAAAGCATAAACATGTCCCGGACGCTTCGCTCCGGAGCGGATCTCCAGGGCGCGAGTCAGTGAGGCCAAGGGTGACTACTGGGGGGCGGGCCCGAGAGCAGCTGGTGCGACCGCACCGACTCGCCCCAGGGCAGGCGGGGTTGTCAAGGTGACAGCAGTCGGCCTTCACGGTCGAAGGGTGACCCCGCCCCTGCCCAGCTCCGATTGGTCACGCCTTTTTCCAGCTCCCCCTTGGGATTGGCTGAGAGGCGCGGCCCACGCGCCGGAGCGTCTTGCGATTGGTTGGTGCTCGGGGCGCCTCGCGGACGCGCGGCCTCCTGGGCTGATGTGAGGCCAGCTTTCGGCCAGCCAATCAGAGTGCGCGCTCGGTGTGGTGCGCCGCGTGGCTGGGATCCTTCCGCGGGGCTGGTGGCCTGGGGCGCGGGGAGGCCCGGGCGGGGCGGGGCGGGGCGGGGCTGCGGGCGCGCCACGTCGGGGAGGACCGGCGGCTCCCGGCAGCCTGGTGCACGGGGGTTTCCTTGCTTCGCAGGACCAGGCCTACGGATGCACACGCTGGCGTGTGGGCGCCTGGGTGGCTCAGTGGTTGAGCGTCTGCCTTCCACTCAGGGCGTGATCCCGGGGTCCCGTGTCTCTCATGAATAAATAAATAGAATCTTAAAAAAAAAATCTTTAATTTTAAAATAAGTTCTTGACTTTAAAAAAAGTTAAGAATTAAAAATAAAAAAAGTCTTTAAAAAAAGTGCACTAGGAAAAAAAAAAAAAAACACCACCACCACCACCACCAAGAGGAATCGTGAATACAAATAAATAAAAGGCTTACATTGCCCAAACTGTCCCAAAGAAGTGCACCGTATAGGCTTCATGACACTGAGGAGAGGCTCTAGATCCTCGGGTTCTTTGGTGTTTTCATGATATGCACGGAGCTACTGGTGCAGCCTGGAAGCAGATGACAGCAACCAGGTGCTGTCTGGGAGCTTGCAGAAGCCGAGAGGACTTCATTTCTTTTTTTCTTTTTTTTTAAATTTATTTATTTATGATAGTCACAGAGAGAGAGAGAGAGAGAGAGAGAGAGAGAGAGGCAGAGGGAGAAGCAGGCTCCATGCACCGGGAGCCCGACGTGGGATTCGATCCGGGGTCCCCAGTATCACACCCTGGGTCAAAGGCAGGCGCCAAACCGCTGCGCCACCCAGGGATCCCGAGGAATTCATTTCTATGGTGATTAGTGCTCTGGCTGAAAACAGGCTCAGAGTAGACCGAGACCTGGCGCTACTTCGCATTGTACCTCATGCAATGAGACAGGCCGGGCTAAAGTTTCCAAACAAGGAGCAGCCTTTGGGAGGCCTTGTACTATGTTTACAGGCGATGGCATATTTATATGGGAAGGGAAAGGAAACTCTGTGTGTGTGAGAAAATAATACTTATTTGAATCTTAAAGTTTCTGTATTTAAGTAATCTCTATGCCCAATGTGGGGCTCAAACTCATGACCCCAAGATCAAGAATCACAGGCTCCCCAGCCCCAGCCAGCCAGGCTCCCCAAGACTATTTTGAAAAAAAATTTTTTTTAAGATTTGCTTATTTGAGAGGAAGAGGGAACATGTGAACAGGGGGAGGGGCAGAGGGAGAGAGAATCTCAAGCAGATTCCCTGCTGAGTAAGGAGGCCCAAGTGGGGTTTGATCCCAAGACCCTGAGATCACAACCTGAGCCAAAACCTAGAGTCTCACACTGAACCCAAGGAGCCACCTAGGTGCCTCGTAGACTTCTTTGCATCTTATTACACCATCTAGTCCCTTCCTTCACCATGTGTGCCAGCTGAATACACTAGAGACTTGGTATTTTTCACCATCCTTTTCTCTGGAAGCCTGGCTTCAATACTGAGGATTTGACATTTGCGTAAGAGTAGAAAGAAGCCAAATCAAGCCAGAGGGTGGGCAGTCACCTCATCTGGCCACCTTTCCTTGTTAAAGGTTAAACACCTTTCCTGTTAAAAACAAGCAAGAGGCAGGATGCCTGTGTGGCTCAGTGGTTAAGCACCTGCCTTTGGCTCAGGTCGTGATCCTGGAGTCGCTGGATCCAGTCCCACATTGGGCTCCCTGCAGAGGCCTGCTTCTCCCTCTCTGTGTCTCTCATGAATAAGTAAATAAAATCTTAAAAAAAAAAAAAAAACAAGCAAGAGAGGGGAAACTGTGGCAAGCGTTCGATGGCTTGTATGGCTGATCTCTTGAGCATTAAATGAGGCCTCTGCTGGTGAGAATATCTGTTTCACTGTATAATAAGGCCCTGTTCATACTATATCACTGGGTTGTGGGTGATGTTCAGTGGCTGAGTGTAACACAAAAAATGGTAAGAATGTAGCCTTGTCCTCTGTTTGCCAGGAGCCACAGTGGTGAGTATCAGTGAGCTGTGGGGGACAATGCATTTATATGACAAATATTTATTGTGTGCTTTCATGTACCAACACATGAAGAAAGGTCCCAGGATTTGTGGAACTTTATTGTAAATGGAAAGACAGAAGATTAAAAAGTGGGACTCCTGGGTAGCTCAGTCGGTGAAGTATCTGCCTATGGATCAGGTCATGATCTTAGGGTCCTGAGATTGAGCCCCATATCCTTCTCCCGGCTCAGCAGGGAGTCTGTTTCTTTTTCTCCCTTTGCCTCTCCCCTCCAGCTCATGCTCTCTCTCTCCTGCTCCCTCTCTCTCAAATAAATTAATAAAATCTTTTTTTAAGATTTTATTTATTTATGCATGAGAGACACAGAGAGAGGGGCAGAGACACAGAGAGGGAGAAGCAGACTCCATGCAGGAAGCCCGACACGGGACTCGATCCTGGGACTGTGGGATCACGCCCTGAGTCAAAGACAGACACCCAACCACTGAGCCACCCAGGCATCCCAAATAAATAAAATCTTAAAAAAAAAAGATTAAACGGTAAACAAGGTAATAATAAGGATGATTTAGACTTGTACTGTGAAGAAAGCAAAATGAAATAATGTGCAGGGTTCCTGGAGAGGGTGGGCAGATTGCTTAAATAGTGGCTGGCTAGGGAGGGCTTGTTTGAGGGGGTGGCATTAGAACTAGTGACAGATGTCTCTCCCAGGTGATCCCAGCAGAAGTAGTCCAATGCTTCAGAAATCAATTTGCCAAAAGCCAATTTGCCAAATAATCAATTCAGTGGATTTGCAGAATTGGCCAGATTTCCTAATTTACCAGAAAATGATGTTTTGTGGCATGATAGTCTTGAATGAGATTCAAAGAATAATAATTTATTTTTTTTAAGATTTTATTTATTTATTCATGAGAGGCAGAGAGAGAGAGAGAGAGAGAGAAAGGGAGACAGAGACACAGGCAGAAGCAGAAGCAGGCTCCATGCTGGGAGCCTGATGTGGAACTCGATGCCGGGACCTTGGGATCATGCCCTGAGCCAAAGGCAGATGCTCAACCTCTGAGCCCCCGAGTCATCCCTAAGAATAATAATTTAATCTGATTTTTTTTGTCTTGAATATTGAGTAGAAAATGTGCTTCAAGAATATATTCTTAGTCTATTCAGGAACATCCTGCTGGAGGACCTTGAGTGTTAATTTAGAGTGTTCTCATCTCATTGTGCTGCCTCTGGCTCATGAGCTCAGGTGTGTGGGGGTTGGGGATACACCATGGTTGCCTTGTTCATTCATTGCAGCTCCTCCCCTATACTAGGTCGAAAACAATTGGTGAATGATTGAGATCCCTGTCCAGCAGCTGCCAATGGAAATCTTCCTCTCTGGTCTTAAGGACAGGGAAGGGTTAAAGTGGGAGGCTCTGAGCATGGGCCAATATTTAGAAGTACTTGTATAAACCATGAGCCTTCATTGATTGATTCTGCAGACCTTTCCAGAGCATCCCCTGGGTGCCAGGCTCATAGATTCTAAGGGCAAGCCAGATCATGCACAGGTAAGCAAAGGTAGAGTTTTTATACTAAACCCTACCCCCAATGTAGGGCTCAAACTCACGATCCCAAGATCAAGACTATACGCTGTGCTGACTGAGCCAGCCAGGCTCTCCCACCAAAGATACTAAGTTTTAACTCTGCAAAAAATAATAGAGTAGTTCTTCTTATTAAAAAATGGGGACATGGCAGACATGACTACAGCTTCTCGTCCTCCCTCCCCAGAGCTAACCACTGTTTGCAGTTTAATGAATATTTGTATTAGATTCCTTGAGGCTGCCATAACAAATGGCTACAAACTTGGTAGCCGACAACAACAGAAATTTATTCTTTTCCAGCTCTAGAAGGTGTGGACAGGGTTGTCCTCCCTCTGAAGTCTCAGAGGAGATTCCTTCCTTGGTGTGTCCAGCTTCTGGTGGCTGCTGGCTTCTGGTGGCCACTCTGGCTTGTGGCTGCATCCCTCCAACCTCTTGCCTCCATTGTCACAAGACCTCTTCACTTGTGTCTCTTATAAGGGCACTTGTCATTAGATTTAGGGACTGTGTGAGTATAATCTAGAATGATTTTATCTCAAGATACTTGCCTTGGGCAGCCCTGGTGGCTCAGCAGTTTAGTGCCACCTTTGGCCCAAGGTGTGATCCTGGAGACCTGGGAGCAAGTCCCACATCAGGCTCCCTGCATGGAGCCTGCTTCTCCCTCTGCCTCTCTCTCTGTGTGTGTCTCTCATGAATAAATAAATAAATAAAATCTTTTAAAAAATCTTAAAAAAAAAGATCCTTGTCTTAATTATATCTGCAAAGATGCTTTTTCCAAATAAGGTCATATTCACCAGTTCCAGGTGGACATATCTTTCCACCACTCAATCCCTTACAATATCTTTCCTACACATATATGAGTGTGTGGGGAATATATATGTACCAAGGAAGAAATACATATTTTTTATTTTATTTTTTTTAAGATTTTATTTATTTATTCATGAGAGACCAGAGAGAGAGAGAGGCAGAGACACAGGCAGAGGGAGAAGCAGGCTCCATGCAGGGAGCCTGATGCGGGACTTGATCCTGGCTCTCCAGGATCACACCCTGGGCTGAAGGCAGTGCTAAACCACTGTGCCACTGGGGCTGCCCTACAAATGGTATTTTACATGTATTTTTCTATAGCTGTAGATGTCATTCTGCTATCGTTCTACTATCTAACTTGCTTTTCCTCCTGAACAATCTCTTTGAGAACTATGCTGTTTGTAGGTCGCTTTCACTGTTTTTATCTGATGCACACAGTATTGCAAGGTCTGGAATGTACTGCACTTCATTAGCCATTCTCCTATTGACAGACTTGAAATTTGTTTACAAATTTTCAGTCTAGGCTTAGTGAAATAACACAGTCATTGATGTCATTAGGGTTTTAATTATTTAATTTTCTTTCTTTTTTAAAAAATATTTATTTATTCATGAGAGAGACAGAGAGAGAGGCAGAGACACAGGCAGAGGGAGAAGCAGACTCCCTGAGCAGACACCCTGAGGTGGATGTGGGACTAGATCCCAGGACCCCAGGATCATGACCTGAGTCGAAGGCAGACGCTCAACCACTCAGGTGCCCCCCCCTTTTTTTAATAGGTTACATGCCCAGTGTGGAGCTTGACATGGGGGCTTGAACTCATGATCCTAAGATCAAGACCTGAACTGAGATGAAGAGTCAGACAATCAACCAACTTAACTACCCAGGAGCCCCTTATTTATTTACTTTTAATTGTGAAAAGTATGAAGTGTACAAAAAAGACTGGATACAGTATGTGTGTACAGTTTAAAGAATAATAAATTTGGGGTACCTGGGTAGCTCAGTGGTTGAGTGTCTGTCTTCGGCTCAGGTCCTGATCCCAGGGTCCTGGGGTTGAGTCCCACATCAGATTCCCTGCAGGGAGCCTGCTTCTCCCTCTGCCTGTGTCTCTGCCAGTCTCTCTGTGTTCCTCATGAATAATAAAAAAAAAAAGAATAAATGTGTATGTTGTTCCTATGATCCCGTTTAATAGGGTATTTTGGAAGTCCTTCCTTAAATTCATTCCTTTCTCTTAGAAGAACCCTATGTCCTGAATGTTGATAAGCATTTCTCGGCCTTCTTTGTGTTTCTCTAACAGGTATGTATTCCTAAACCACATATTTTTGGGTTTTGCCTACTTAGCCCCTTTCTATAAAAGTCTGTACACCTCTGATGCTTGCTTTTTTGCTTAACATTATGTTTTTGAGGTTCATCGTGCTGGCACATCTGTAGAGCATCTGCTTTGGCTGCCTCACAGGATCACTATCCCACCACCTCCGTGTCCTTCTTCTTGGTTTGTGACATCTACCCCTCTGCTTTCTCCTGTGGCGGGAGAGGAGGTGGGGTGGTTGAACTTTGGGACATCACTTTAGGCACATCTGGCCCTTGGTTGCTGGCATCCACTGGATTTCCACAGCCCTGTGGGTAGACAGGGAGGGTTGAGGCAACCACACCACGGAAGCCAGAAAAAGAAATCCTCCAATAACCCTTTTGCCTGATGAACCCATGAATTTGGCTGAGTCTCTGTTTGGACTCACTCTTCACCATTCTCCTGGATCAGCCTGAGAAAGCCTCTTGTGTCAACAGCCACAGGAAATGGAAATATGTCAGCTTCTTGTCCCTTTTGGTCTTTTCTCCATCAAGTCATATGCATTACTACTTTGGTTATGACTTGGGGAAAATTAGTTCTATGCTAGAAGTTGTTCTGATCTTGTCTGGACCCCAAGCATTGCTATCTACTATCTAACTCCACACCATATTCTCTTGGTCTCCAAATATCTCTATGTGTAGATAGATATTTAAAGATATATCTCTTTCTAAGCTTATATTGGTATACAGGTACATAGCTCTCTCTCTCCCTCTCTCTCTCCTTCTCAATATCTCCCACCTTTCCACCCTAGTCAAGCCACCATGATACCCCATGTGAACCTTAGCAATACCTCCCTCACTACTCTATTACCACACAACAGCTAGAATAGTGCTTTCAAAATATGACACATCACTCCCCTACTCAAAACTTTCCAAATAGGGGCACCTGAGTGGCTCATTGGTTGAGTGTCTGCCTTTGGCTCAGGTCATGATTCCGGGGTCCTGGGATTGAATTCTGCATAGGGCTTCCTGTAGGGAGCCTGCTTCTCTCTCTATCTACGTCTCTGCCTCTGTGTGTGTCTCTCATCAATCAATCAATAAAATCTTAAAAAAAAAAAAAAGAACACCCACACACAAAACTTTCCAAATGGCTTCTAATCACACTTTAAATAAATAAAATCCACAGTCCTTACCTTGTGGCCTCCCAAGATCCTGGATAGCCACTTCCATTTGACTGGGTCTTTGCTTTTACCATGTCCTCTCTCTGAAAGGTTCCTCCTCCTAAGGCTTAGCACTGGGTGGGATGCTCTCCCCGCCCCCCCCCTTTTTAGGTAGAGAATCTTCAGACTGTGATAGAGGGGCATACTAGTTTGGGGATTGAACACACCTTGGTTCTTACTGATGCCTGCCTATCTTGGGATCAGTTGTTCTAGGGAATGTCATGTGGGTGATGAATGTACTAAAGTGAACACAAGCCCCTTCAGGGGAGAGCGCAAGTGGAATGACCTTTGGTGATTGTCTCGGTTAGCATGCTTTTGGCAGCAAGTTATGGCAATCTGACTCCCTGCGGCTTAATCCATGATGACAGTTACTATTTATTCAGCCTGAAGCCCCTGGGCTAGTCACAGGATTGCTCTGCAGCTCAGCAAGAGGATCCAGCTTTTCGACCTCTGCTCTGCCACCCTCTGCTCAGGGGCTTTCTTGTGCCATGCTTCTGCGGATCGCTACATGCCCAGCGCAGCTTCCTGCAAAACGTCCTCCCAGGGGAAAATGGGTGCAAGTCCCCCCCCCACCCCCATTCACGCCCTTTCGAGCTCATTGGCCGAGATTTATTTTTTTTTTTTTGCCCACCCACAAGCCAATCCGGCAAAGGAGAAGAAGGAGGGCTGTGATTGGCTTAAACTAGAGAGGACGTCGACCCCTGGGGACCAATTTCCAAGGGCCATGTGGTGCTCAGCGGCTCTTACACAATTAATTGACAGATAATCCACCCCATTCTTACAGTCCTCCAGACTGCCGGAGACAGCATCTATGTTCTCAATCCTCCTTGACCCACTTAACAGACACAGGGGCTTACTATGAACTCATCTCGATTCCTACTTCCTTGCCCTGGGGTATTAACAGGATCTCTGCTCCAAGACCTCCTCTGAGGAGTAAATGCCATTCTTTCAGTGCTCTCTGGCTGAGACGTGTCTCCTAAGGGTGAAGTTCGGCTTGGGTTGGAATGTACTGATTTTGGAAAAACCAGAGAAGTGAAATTTACAGACACCGATTCACTTTCTACTTTTCAGTATTTTCTCAATTCTTCAAAATGTCTCGATACATTGAAGAACATCCACGGATACATTTTATTTTATTTTTAAAAGATTTATTTATTCATGAGAGACACAGAGAGAGAGCAAGGCAGAGACACAGGCAGAGGGAGAAGCAAGCTCCATGCAGGGAGCCCGATGTGGGACTCGACATGGGGACTCCAGGATCACTCCCTGGGCCGAAGGCAGATGCTAAACCATTGAGCCACCTGGGCTGCCCCACGGATACATTTTATTTTATTTTATTTTTATTTATTTTTATTTTTTCCACGGATACATTTTAAAGGCCATTTCTTTCAGATTTGGTCTCTCTTAATGGATCCGACAGATGAACGTGTACGGTATTCAATTATGTCAGGTGTATTCATTCCAACGAGAGCGAATCATCATTTTATTTTGTTTTAAAACTCTCAATTTATTTTTTTTTTAAAAAAGATTTTATTTATTTGGGAGAGAGAAGGAGCTCAGGGAGGAGCAGAGGGAGGAGCAGAGGGAGAGGGGCAAGTGGACTCCCTGCTGAGCAAGGAGCCAGATGGGGTAAGGGGTATGGGTGTCCATTTTGGGACTCTGGGTCATGACCTGAGCCAAGGGTAGATGCTCACTGACTGAGCCACCCAGGCACCCCTAAAACCCTGTTATAAAAAGGATGTCCATTTAAGGCTATGATCAAACTTTCCAATGTCAGCTTAAGTCAAGATCCAATCCCTTGAGTTGGCCCGATCCTTCCAGGAGAGCCTCCAGAGTTGGATTTGGTGGTGTTCCTAGTAGGTGGGTAGCTTTCAGTGGTCCATGTTATTTCCTAGCTGTCTCTCCAAGAACAGATTTTTTGGATTCTTTTCCAGTTGCATCTTAGCATGATGGTATTTGTTTCTATGTGTACAAAGAAATATCATTCTTTGGGGGTATCCCTGGGTGGCTCAGTGGTTTAGTGCCTGCCTTTGGCCCAGGGCATGATCCTGGAGTCCCTGGATCGAGTCCCACGTCGGGCTCCCTGCATGGAGCCTGCTTCTCCCTCTGCCTGTGTCTCTGCCTCTCTCTGTGTCTCTCATGAATAAATAAATAAAATCTAAAAAAAAAAAAAAAAAGAAATATCATGCTTTGGGAAGAGAGGAGAAAAATGAGATTCATATTGCTAAAAGCACTTGGACTTTCAGATAGCCCTGACTTGTACTCCAACTATGGGTGCCACTCCTCTTCTGGACCATCAGTTTGGGCCTTTTTGGAAAACTCTTCACTACTTCCAAATACTCTTGCTTTTCTCTTGAAGCTGCTTTCAACATATTCCAGAGGACCCAATATGTGTTCATAATTTCCTGTCTCTGAAGAAGTGTAGGTGCGTCTGGTCTGGCCAGGAAAATTTCTTTCTTTTCTTTTCTTTCATTTTCCTTTTTTTAAAAAAATATTTTATTTGTGAGAAAGAGACAATGCAAGAGAGCAAGCATGAGTAGTGGAAGGGGCAAAGGGAGAAGGAAACAGACTCCCCGCTCAGCAGGGAGCCCAATGCAGGGCTTGATCCCAGGACCAAGACCTGAGCAGAAGGCAGATGCTTGACTGAGTCACCCAGGTGCCCCTGATCTGGTAAATTTCTGTGTTCGTTTAAAAATCTTTGAAGTACCTAGAATAGGATGGAGTTTAGAATTTTGGGAGTGTGGTGTATAAAGAGTACCAAACTAGGGGCAGCTGGGTGGCTCAATTTAGCTTCCAACTCTTGATTTCAGCTCAGATCATGGTCTCAGGGTCATAAGATTTAGCTCTGCTGGGCATGGAGCCTGGTTAAGATTCTCTCTCCCTCTTCCTCTGTATTTTCTCTCTCATCAAAAATAAGCAACAGGTACAAGGAGAAGAGGGTAAGTGCAGAGATGCAAGAAAGGTTGCACATAGACAATAAATAGTTTAAGGTTCTTGGTCAAGAAGGGCCCTCCCAGCAATGTTCCCATTTTAAATGGGAAGAAATTTCTTGAATCTCCTCCTCTTCTCCCTGTCTAATCTTGTTAAGAAGGATATGAGACAGCAAGGTGAGACCTAAAAAGGTATTTCCAAGGGTTTGTGTGTGTCTGGATGTGTCAAAGGGATGATGACAAAGTACCCAGTTATTTTGGCTATATAAACTTGCCTCTCCCTTGGGTCCTCTACAGATGCTTTGCCTGATTGGGTGGGCCAGGATTAAGGGATTAAGAATGAATCAAGTGGCTGTCAGGTGTGTAAACCTAGCCCTCTGCCCTCCGTGAGAATTGGCCAGTCCTCTAGTCAAAGTGCAATTTGCATATTCTATGAAGGCCAGGTCTATGCCTTACATAGCAGAACCTCCTTGCCTAGTTAAGGACGGGCACCCAATAGGCATTTTTGAATGAATGACTGTTTCTTTTTTTATGAATTTATTCATTTATTCATGAAAGACACACACACACACACACACACACACACACACACAGGCAGAGACATAGGCAGAGGGAGAAGCAGGCTCCCTAGCCTTATGCAGGACTTGATCCCAGGACCCTGAGATTATGACTTGAGCCAAAAGCAGATGCTGAACCACTGAGCCACCCAGGTGCCCCTGAATGGCTGTTTCTTTCTTTTTTTTTTTTAGATTTTATTTATTTATGAGAGACACAGCACGAAAGAGAGGAAGAGACACAGGGAGAAGCAGGCTCCATGCAGGGAACCAGACATGGGACTCAATCCTGGGTCTCCAGGATCACAACCTGGGCTGAAGGTGGTGCAAACTGCTGAGCCACCTGGGCTGCCCTGAATGATTGTTGAGCTCCTATTATGGATCAGGCTCTGGGAATCCTGGAGAACCTGGTGAAACAAGGATTTTGCTCCGTGGAATTTGCATTACGGTGTCAGAGGAAATAAACATCAACCCCTCAAAGATGACTCTCCTTCCCAGTCAAGACGAACTCATGCCTTGGCAAAGGTGGTAACTCAAACAAAGAGCCAGAGCTGGCTCTAGAACTTTGAGGTGGGGGAGGAGGGGGCAGCTTTTCTGGAAATCATGTTTACATAGCAAAATCCTGTTTTAAATGAGAACCTATGTTTATTTGTGGTTATTGAGAGATGGAAGTTTGTGATTTTAGCGGTGAGGTTGCTTCATAAGACTCCCAACACTGAAAAAAAAAACGTGCCTGGGAGAAGCTTATTGGGTTGCTGTCAAAACAAGTTACAAGGAATGTGTGAAGGTCCTTAGCACAGAGCCAACCCATGTGCAGTAGGAGTGAAATAAATAAACCTTCAACATATACCCAAGTCCCATTTTTCTCTGCCACCTGGTCCAGCCACCATCATCTATTTCAATATTATTCTAACTGGTCTCCCTGCTGATACACCTGCTCCCTGAAGCCTATTCTCAGCTGAGCAAGCAGAGGGATTCCTATTACAGTCAGAACATGTCCCTCTCTTGCTCAAAACCTTCAGTGGTCTCATCTTGCCCATGGTAAAAGCTGGTCTTCATGGTCTTCAGGAGCCACTTGGGCTGCCTGCCTCGTTTCCCTTCATTGATTTTATCCTCCTCCTCTTAAAAAAATTTTATTTTTTGAGAGGGAGGGAGAGAGAGAGAGAGAGAGAGAGAGAGAGAGAGAGAGAGAATACGTGCAGGTGCAAGAGGGAGAAGCAGGCTCCCTGCTGGGCTGGGAGTCCAGGCTGGGGCTCCATCCCAGGACCCTGGGATCATGACTTGAGCTGAAGGCAGATGCTTCAGCACCTGGAGCTGCCCAGGTGCCCCCATTGACTTTATCTTCTACCTCAGGTCTTTCAAGTCAAAGAAAAAATGCTGGACACTACTATTTCTCAAACTACACCCAACACTCCTCAGGACTTTAGCACCTGCTGTCATCTCCGCCTGGAAACTTTCTCCCCAGATACTGAAGAGCTCATGACACCTGTCACCTGCTTCAAGTCAATGGTAGATGTCACCTTTTCTTTCTTTTCTTTTTCTTTTTCTTTTTTAAGATTTTATTTGAGAGAGGGACACCTGGGTGGCTCAGAGGTTGAGCGTTTGCCTTCGGCCCAGGGCATGATCCTGGAGTCCCTGGATCGAGTCCTGCATCTGGCTCCCTGCGTGGAGCCTGCTTCTCCCTCTGCCTATGCCTTTGCCTCTCTCTCTGTGTCTTTCATGAATAAATAAATAAAATCTTAAAAAAATTTTTGAGAGAGAAAGAACGAGCGGCGGGGAGGGCAGAGAGAGAAGCAAGCAGACTCCCCATTGAGCAGGGAGCCCGACTCGGGGCTCAATCCCAGGACCTCCGGGATCATGACCTGAGCCGAAGGCAGACGCCCCACCGACTGAGCCACCCAGGTGCCCCTGACGTCACCTTTTCAATGGAACCTTCCCTGACAGCTCTATTTAAATAGAAACACTCGTCCTTCTTTCTTTTCTATCCTTCCCTGACTTCTTTCCATAGTACTTAGCACTTTCTGCTATGCATGAATAACAGTATACGTATTACCTACACGACACTCATTGTACACTATATATTTCCACTATTTGCATTGTACTGTCTATGACCTACGTGTCTCCTCCGCCCCTTACCTCCTGTTGACACAGGGCAGGAACTTTGCTTCGTTCACCGCTGCACCTGCGGCGCCCCGAACGGCGCCCGGTACCCAGCAGCGCCAGGCTGTCTGCAGGAAGAACAGATCAATAGCGAATGAATGAGCCCGGGAACCAGCCCGCGGCCTCCCGCCCGCGGCTCCCCGCGCCGCTTTAACCCCTTGGCGCCGCAGGTGAGGTGGGAGGCCGGGCGCAGTGCGCCTGCGCAGCCCCACCCCCCGCACGCGCGCGTGGGTCGAGGGCCCTAAGGCCGCGGGGCGCAGCTGCGGGCACTCCTTTGCGAGGCCCGGCGCCCGCGGAGGGTTACACGCGGAGGGGGCGGGGCCTTAGGGAGAGGGGGCGGGGCCTCGGGGCGGGGGCGGGGCGGGGGCGGGGCCGCGCCGGGATCCCGCAGGCGGCGGCCGCGCCGCGCTCAGTAGCGCTGCCCGCCGCCCGCCCGCCGCCCGCCCGCCGCCCGCCCGCCGCCCGCCCGCCGCCCCGGGACCCCGCCGTCCCTCCGCGCCGCCGCCGCGGCCTGGCCCCCGCCGGGTCCCCGTCGCCGCGCAGCCCCGCCGCAGCCATGTCCAAGCAGCCGCGGGCCAGCCGGGAGGAGATCCTGGAGAGCCAGGTGATGTGGGAGCCTGACAGCAAGAGCACGCACATGCACCGCTTCCGGGCGGCCGTGGCTGCTGCCTGCGGCCTGGCGCTGGGTGAGTGCGCGCGCGCCGCCCCGGCTCCCCCGCGCCTGCCGGGCGCCCCCCGGGGGGCTCCTCCCCTCCAGCGTCCGGGAGGGGCCGCTGGAAGTGGGAGGGGCTCCCTCCCCCCGGGGTGGGGCACCTTCCGACCGCGCGTTTTGCCCCTTGTCTGTGCAGGGCGTCAGCTCTTGTGCTTTCAGGGTGCGTGACCCCTCCCCGCTGTGGCATCTGTGTCCCAGGAGGGGTCCCCCTGACACTCGCCCTGCCCTCTTAGCATCTTTGCCCCTGGGAGGCTCCCCCACCCGCCTTGGAACCTCTGGGGACTGAGATCCCTCGCTAGGCTTCCTACTTGTGAGATGAGGTGTTGTCTGGCGTCTGGCGTCTGGCTTGGGGGAGGGGGGGGCTTCCTCCCAGACACGGAGTCTTTCTAACTTGTGGCTCTTCCCCCATGTTTGTGGGGGTCACTTGCCAGCCAGTAACACCTTGTGTTGTCCCCTCCTAGCCGCCCCCTCCCCCACTCGACATTACTAAAGGGCTAGCATGGAATCCAGCACCCACAGGAGAAGGACACTCTTTTCTGAAAGAAAATACAGCCTTTGGGATTGAGGCAGGACTCGTTTTCCTCCTGTTTACTTTACCCTCCCAGCCCCCAGCAGAACCTAGGCATGGCCCCTCCCTGCAGCCACCACCCCGGCTCTCAGAAACTGCCTGGCCTGGCTGCCTGTGGGCGGGCCCACGCGGCCCCGTTTTCTGGGTGAGAAGCACCTGCACGTGTCTCCTGCCAGCTCTAGCTGGCTTGTCCGACTTCCTGCAGGACCTTCCCCACCTTCAGGGGTTTCAGCTCCTCTCTGGCCACTTCCCTTCCCTCGTGGCCCTCAGCTGGCTTCTGGGACTCCTGTGGTTCTGTGGTGGCATCGCTGTTCTCAGCCGCCCTGACAGAGGTGGACACGGGGCCATCTGTCCTGTGTAGGGGAGTCCTCAGTGACACTGCCTTGCTGCTTACATCCCCCGCTTTCCTGGGGCCCTCGTTCTCTCTACTCTGAACACTGGCCCGTTTCCCTGCTTCCTGCTTTTCCTTCCTCTTCTCTTCGGGACACCCTGCTTGCTTCACTGGAGCACAGGTCTGACTTTGTCACTCCTTAGCTCAGAGGCTCACAATGGTCCCTTGTTGACCGTGGAATTGCATGGTGCCACCTGGCAGCTTCCAAGCCTTCCGCTGTATGATGGGTGTCATAGCTTCCAGTGAGCCCCTTCCCTTGGTGAACCCAGCTCCCTCCCTCCTGCTCACTACACAGAAAGCATCTTGGAGACAGATGTGGCTTATTACTCTGGGCCTTTCAGGTATTAGCTGGTAAATTAACGTGTGTAGGATTGGGGGAGAACAGACCTGATTCCCAGAAAGAGCCAGGAGTAAGATATTCATCTGTGCCACCTCACCTCGATTCCATCTTTCTTTCTTCTGCTAGCAGAGGTATAGTGTTCTCCTGTGCTTAACTAGCCTTGGTGCTTTAGGAAATGATTGCACATGAGTTGTGAGGTGGGCGAGATGCATCTGACCTGACTACCTGGATTTTGAACTGGCTCCACCACTTCCTAGCCGTGTGACCTAGCTGTGAGACCAAGTCTTACTTTCCCCGTCTGTAAAATGGGCATGGTGAGAGAGGACCTGTGTCAGTGGGTGGTGTGAGGGAGGCAGGAGGCCCTCACACCCAGCGGTCACCTGCACCTGGCCTGTGGGTTGCTGCATAAACCCGACCGCACACTGGCAGCTCCTAGTTGGCCTGCTCAGGGCTGGTAGCTGGGGGAATGAGCCCAGACTGGACTTGAAGACCTAGCTCAAGCGGCTCACAAACTGGGAGACTGCATAGGAAAAGCAAGATTTCTGACTTCTTTTGAAAACCCAAAGGCCTGTGATGCTAGATCTGTGTCCCCACATGGTGGCAATGAGCTGGGCTGAGCTGGGTTCTCCTCTTGGTTGGAGGATGATTTAGAGCTTGGTGTTTGTCTTTTCCTCCTCTTCCACTCCTGATGGTTGAGCCAGTCTGCTGCTTCTCTCTCTTCCAGAAGCCCAGCCCTGGAGGTTTTGGGCTTTAAGGTCTAACTCAAATGCTGCCTTGTCTTGATCATTGTCTTTGAATGTTTTCTCCTTTCTCCTGTTCTCCAAATGCATGTAATTTGGACTTTCATTCTGCCTCGCATTTTCATTAATTTTTAAGTATTCAAATTGCTTAAGGATTGCATCCTTGAACTTGTATCCTCTGCACACCTCCTACCCCCTGGGGCGTGCGTGTAGTTGGCATGCAGTATTGAGCAATGTTGTACCCCCACATACAGAGAGAGCAAGGTACACATCTTCCCCGGGGCGCTTCAGTTGTGCTCCAGCTTCAAGGATGGACGGATGTAGGGGTGGGGGCGCATTCTCCAGCTTGGTCTGTCACCCTAGACCAAGGTTGGCATGAGGTTTCTCCCCCAGCCTTGGCAGGGTTACCTATTCTTTTTCCCACTACGAGGGCCACAGGTTGGTTTGTTCTTCTCACTGCTTCTAGCAGAGCTCAACTGAGGACTCCCAGAAAACCTACATAGACCTGGGGGCCCTCCGGACCTGGGGCCCTCCGGATGCAGACCTCCTATGGAGCAGCCCTCTATGGCAGCCTAGCATTTGTGCAGGAGAGGCCTCTTTCACAAAGACCCCAGGGGTCATGCTGCATGTACCAGCCCTCTGTAATTAGGGGAGTGACACCTGCTTTAAAGGACATGTTCTTTTGGTGGACTATGCCACGTGTCTTTCTGTATGCCACGAGCTACAGATCATTTCAGCGTTCAAGCAGCTGGGATAGCGTTTGCCCACAAATAGAAGGCCGGGTCCCTGTTCTCAAATAGCTCAAGCGTAGCTGGGGGAGAAAGCTCGTGCAGGACAGCAGCGCTGCAGTGAATCAGTAACCAGCCTGGGCCCAGGGGCAGCCAGCTGTGGTCTCCCAAGCACTTTACTGTGGACTGGGTCTGTCACTGCAGTGGAAAGAGGCCGCTGGGTCTTGAGCTGAGGTTGGGAGGTGTAGACTGGTCTGAATTCTCGTGGGTGGAGAGGAAGAAGGGGGTGAATTGCAAATTCAGATTCTATGGGGGCCCAGCAGGTGAGGTGGATAATGGTACCAGGTAGCTTTTATTATTAAAAAAAATTTCTTTTAAAGATTTTATTTATTTGACGCAGAAGGTAGAGAGAGCACAATGGGGAGTTGGAGGGAGAGAGAGAAGCAGATGCCCTGCTGAGCAGGGAGCTTGACATGGGACTTGATCCCAGGATCCCAGGATCATGACCCAAGCCAAAGGCAGAAGCTTCACTGACTGAGCCCCCCAGGTGCCCCACCAGTCAGCCTTCTTGGGTGCTTTACATGCATCCACTGATACTGTCCTCAGTAAGCTGGCCAGGTACATGCTGCTTTGACCCCATTCCCTAGCTGGGAAAACAGAAGCTCAGTCTCGGTGGGGATGTTGCAGCTGTGAGTGAGTGGCGGACCTGTAGTCTGTTTCCAGAATCATTAGTCTCTCCTGCATTATGTTGCCTTTCGAATGTAGGGGAAGGCTCAGGGGAGGCTGGTGGGCAGCTGTCACTCAGCTCGATAGCTGCTTGTCAATATGTGGTGTGACAGTGCCTTAGCCATCCAGGAGAGCAAGGCCATGGCTGAGGTGTCCCTGACCTGGCCTCAGAAGTAGCCCTTGGTCATTTCCATAACATCCTGCTGGTGACACTGAGGAGCCCTGCTCAGTGTGGCCAGGGGGGCAGCACACAGATGGAAGTGTGGGAGGCCAGAAGCATAGGCATCTAACCCTAGGAGAAGGCGGGAACACCGAATTTCACAGTACGTTGGCAGCTAGATCAGGTTCTTCATGAGCACAGTGCAGATTGAACCACACGTGCCCATGGTGGGTCATCTGGGCTTCAGGAGTGCAGGCTGTGAGTAGGGGCCGGGAGGGGGTGAGTGGGGGCTGGGAGGGGCCCCTGCTGGTCTGCGGAGTCATTCTTGATGACGGGGCTGGGTGGGGCTGGGTCTTGGAGGGTGGAGGAGTTTCTGCGCAAGGTTCATCCTTTTCTCTGTGGTCCTCCTAGTGTTAGGGGGCTGTCGGGACCGCTCAGTTCCCAGATTGGCAGGCAGGTGGCATCTTCCTCCCTTGTGGACCTTGTTGGTGACTCACTGTTGATGGGCTTTTGCAGTCTTCAGTGGGGGCGTGGGTGGCAAGCCTTTGGTCCATCTCCGTGTAAGCTGGGAGGGGAGAGAATTTTTTGTCTTGGAACTCTGCCTTTTGTGAGGATCAAGATGACCAAAAACAAAGACCAGGAAAGAATGGAGCTGTGGGTCTGTTTGGGGGCAGGGCAGCTTCCCCAGTGGGGGCTGGGCAGAGGCTCTCTCTCCCAGGGCTGCCCTGGGTCTGCATTTGCCCACCTTCTGGACCAGAAGCTGGAGCGCCCCTGCTCATGAACGCTTTCAAGTACCTGCCCAGCCCTGTCCCCAGGTCGCAGCCCATCCCGTCGCGTCAGCTAGCCTGGCTAGCCTGGTATGTGTCGTGCTCCTGCGAGATGACCAGCAGTGAT